CTTCAGTGGTGACACATAAGGAGTAAAAGCAGAACTGAGTAAAGCACTGAGTGAATGATACTCTATTATTGTCAGTTATTAACATGTGTAGCAGTTTGGGGAAAATGACTGTTGTAAAACAGATATCTACAATGGATACGTTACAGATAAATAGATACATGGGGGTGTGTAAGTAGTCATACATATATATCACTGTGATGGTAATTATATTTATTAACAGGCCAGTAAAATATATTAGAAATAAAATACCAGAAATGTATATTTTATCTTCTGCTTTAAGCAAAAATGGCACAATCTGAAACTCTTCTGATGTTGTATAGTTCTCCATCAAAACAGCTCTTTTGTAAGAGGCAATCAAATATAGTTATGATCAACGATGTCACGGTTTATTTGGCAAAAGACTGCAGGTTCAGATGAATGAATATTCTCTTTTCATGCTGACGTGTTGTGAAACATTTTATTGATATGTATAAATAATATAATTATGAGAAGGTTCACCATTTGTTGACACTGTAAATAAATGCCTAACTGGTAAAAAAAAAAGTTATAGAATTGTTATGACACCAAAAATGTATATTTTATCTTCTGCTTTAAACATAAATGGCACAATCTGAAACATTTTAGGTGTTGTTGTTTGTCCATCAAAACAATTATTATTATTATTAATATTATTATCATTGTTATTATTATTATTATTATTATTATTATTATATCTGTTTTACTAATACAAAAGTTATAACTAAACTAAAAAATAGTTTTCTGAAAGTGAAAATAAATTTATAAATGTCAATGGTGAAGATGTGAAGATAAAATCATTTTTAAGCTATATTTTGTGTGTATATATATATATATATATATATATATATACACACAAATAGATAAAACATAGATAGATAGATGTAGCATAAATGTTGTTAGTAGTTATGAGATGTTAGGATGTAAAAAACAAAAAAATTAGTGAAGAATAGAGGTATATACACGATATGAGGTGTCTCAACACATGTTGTAAGCTTGTATATTGTTTTTTTAAACATTTATTTTATTAGAAGTTTTCAGAAATACAAAATCCGAATAATATAGCAATAGTATTAAGAACAGGTCATAGTAACAGGTTTGAAATTGACAAGGTATAAATGGACCCAGTTGGTGGTACAAACAACAGCGATGGGGGGTAACGGTCGCCAGGGCACACATAGGATAGGGAACATTAGATAGATAGATAGATTTTATTTGTCACATACACAATCGTACAAGTATGATATGCAGTGAAATGCTTACACGACTGCAGAGCAGTCAGAGCATTCATATGCATACAGGTAACCTACTCGACCAGCACCAAACATATAGCAAACACTAAAGTCCCAGGTATTATAAAGAGTAAATCACTGTTATCGGATTGGGTATATTGTTTTATTACTATCGATCTAGGCCGTTCTAACCGCATAAGAGATTGGTGTTACCTTAGAAATGATATCCTGGCTGACTGTGCATGTCAGAGTGTACTCTTGCAAGTAAAAGAGATGTGTTGTGAATGATGATCACTTTAAAATTAATGTTACTATTTAATGACTCCAATTGGATGTGAAAAATCTAGAGTTTTGTGGATCATCATGGACTCCTTCTGGACTATGTTGACTATCATGTGTGTATGGACCATGCTGGCTATGAATGAATTAATTAATTTATCCTGTACAGATTAGATCTCTTGTACAGTAATGTGTTTGTGTCATATAAAGTATTTTGTGGTTGCTGTGTCCTGGTATATGGAACACATACACCTACCTGAATCCAAAATAGGAAGTCTTCTCATCTAATGTCCAGCCAATTATCTACACTTAAAAAAAGCAGCTGTGAAAATATCCATTTAAAGTATAATGCAAAGTGCCATAAAGCTGACTGGTGAACATGAAATGTCAAATGTGACAGGTACAGATAGTGTGCTGCAACAGTGACTGCATCTACCTAGTTTACTACCCATATATACTATCTTTAGTTGAAATCATTTAGGTGTGTGTATATCCAAAGACTGACCACACCATGAATGAACCTGAGGAAGGAACCAATGTTTAGCACATCTGTAGCCCAGAACTGACAGCCCAGGGACCGGAAGTGATGCAATCTGCATCGCTCCCGGTCCCATAGAAAGGGGAGGGGATCGATGAACGGAAGTTCGTCGACCTCCTCCCCAGCTCCCCGCGGACACCAAGGACACCACATCTAGGATAGTCCGATAGAATATCCTAGAGGTGAGACAGGAGAGCTGGAGAGCAGGAGGCCTTTGGAAGAGAGGAGGGGGCAGTTTGGCTGATATTTTGAGATGAGGTGGATGCCTAGGTTGGGGTAGATGGCTTTGTGGGTTATTGTAAGTATTTTGAATTTCATACGTTGGGTGAGTGGAAGCCAGTGGAGCGATTGGCAGAGGGGGGTGGCGGACACTGATCGGTTGGTAAGGTGGATGAGTTCGGCAGCAACGTTCATGATAGACTGTAGGAGGGTAGGCTGCTTGGTGGTAGGCCAACAAAGAAGGAGTTACAGTAGTCAAGGCGAGATGAATTAGAAGCTTTTGTGGTATCATTTGTTAAGAAGGGACACATTTTGGAAATGTTACGGAGGTTGAGTCTGCAATGTTTGGATAGTGATTGGATGTGGGACTGAAATGAGAGCTCAGAGTCAAGGATTACACTGAGCACACTGGCTTGATGGGAGTGGTTGATTGTAGTTCTGTTGATTGTGAAGGAGAAGTCGGGGGAGGGAACACGGATAGGAGGTAGGAGGAAATATTATAAGCTCAGTTTTGGACAGATTTAGTTTGAGGAAATGGTGTGACATCCATGTAGATATGTCAGTGAGTAGATTAGTGATGCGTGAGAAGATAGAAGGAGAATCTCACGATGAGGGGTAGAGAGAGATCTATTTGGGTGTAGTGTGCATAGAGATAGTAGTGGAAGCCATGGGAGGATATTTACTGACCCAGGGAGGAGGTGTAGATGGAGAATAGAAGGGGCCCAAGGACAGAGCATTTGGGGACCCCCATGGATAGAGGAAGAGTAGAGAAGGAGGTAGAGTTATAGGTGACACTGAAGGTGTGCTAGGATAGGTAGGAGGTGAACCATGTGAGAACAGAGTCTTGGAGGCCAAGGGATTGGAGTTTATTAAGGAGGAGCGGGTGGTCAAATGTGTCAAAAGCAGCAGAAAGGTCCAGGAGTATGAGCATAGAGTAGTGGCCTTTGGTTTTAGCGGTTAGTAAATCATTAGTAAGTTTTAGAAGGGTAGTTTCTGTGGAGTGTTGCACACATAAAATATTGCATATTTATTTCTAGTATTACTTTTTTTAGCCATCAGGTATATCTCTTGACTCCTTAGCCTCTTTGGTGAAAAAATAAAAATCTGTCCTTTACAAAGTTCAGAAGCTCAAGCTAAAATTTACACACACCAGCAATTGAGTCAAACTAGTGACTCATCCATTATTAAATGGGAAAGCAAGCCTTAAGGCCTGTGCTGACCCTTAGGTTAGTGCTGTTGAATGTTTTTGTCATCAGTTAAATGTTTATTTGTAATACAAGGATTCTATAAACTAGGGATGCACCGATACCAGTTCAGATACCAGTGCCAATACTTGGCATTTTCATGAGAACTACCAGGGTTGCAGCTGGGGCCTGGCTCTGGCGCTCCACCACTGTCCTGAAATCATTAGTCGATATTGTTTTAGAAAAAACTGTCACATGACAATAAACAAAAATGTATCACTACTCGTACTGGCAAAACTGGTATCAGTGCATCATCTCTAAAAACAAAATCATACAATAAAACAGAAATGTACAAATCCCATGAGCTCCGTGTGCTCCTTACAAATGAAAGCTGCCTCCTAAGTTTTTAATTTTTCTCTAGTCTAGTCTTGGAGCTGGAAAAGTATCTGTACTTGTATTTGTACCGAGTACAGTACTTGCTATCGGTGCATCCTTACTATAAACATATATACAAAATACATTTTCAAATATGACAAAAATTTTACATATTGATCCAAAATCATTAAAGTTTCCTCAAACCTCATTTTCTAAGCATACAGATGTGTTGCAATGTGCCTAATAAGATAAAGTCAGAAACAACATATAAGCATAGCAGCATATAAGCATCCTTCTTTTTTAGAAGTAATAGCTAAACCCAACAACAACAAAAATAATATAGTGCAGCTTGTCAGTGGATCTCCTTTAGAAATGCAGTATCTTTGTCACTTTCTGTGAATTGGACTGAAGGTAAATCTTCATTCTCTAAGCTATTAATCTCCCCACCTGCCATGTAATAGAGATGAACAAAGGCAGACATGTTTGAAGTCAAGCCTGGGCAGAAACTATTGCTCTCTTCCTAAATGCAGTGTAGTAGGGAGCGTAGCCACCCAGGGACAGGATGTGTGTGATTCTCAGAGTTACCAGGTGAAAGTAATAGGAAAAAACCTGTAAAAGTCAAATTGCACCTTTGTAAGTGATTAGCATTTATTGTGGTAATGAAGAGGTGCAGTGATGATATATATGTGTGCACATTTTCATGACTCACGTTGCTGGCTTTCTTAATTTTTTATGAACTTTTTTTAGGTCTGAATCCTACAAATTAAACGTTTTCCCCACAGGAAATTTAATCTGACACCAGGGTCGGATTGTAAAGCAGGCTGTAAACAGCTGCCTCCTGCCTTTGACTCTGTGTAACATGATCACTAAACACCAGCTCTGCCTCTGCACACAATATATTGTCCTGGGTGGGGGGTGCCACTATGAATGCTAATTAAATCGGGGTGGAGAGATCAGTTGTAATATACACGGATTGCTTGCAAAACACAGAGGCAGACAATTCCATGAGGGGATGAAGAGGAAAGCTAACAAAAAAACTCAAGTTTCTGTGTTCATATACAGCAACCTGCTTCATGAACGCTTGGTGTATATTGTTGGCATATGTTTTTTTTAAAACACCTCCGCAAAGGTGAAAATGGGCTTTAATAGGAACATTTCTTACTGGACAGTTTTTGTTACCCCTACTAAGCTGAGCAGACCCTTTTTAATATCTTTATTTCGAAGACTGTATATCAAAGGGTTTACCATAGGTGCAACAATAGAATACAACAGTGTAAAAAATTGTTCCAAGAGATCAGAGTACTTTGACGGAGACATCATGACCACAGCAGCAATTGTAACATAATAGATAAAGAGCACAATGAGGTGGGATGAGCAAGTGGAGAAGGTCTTTGTCCTTCCGTCAGATGATTTAATGGCTAGGATAACCCTGATTATTTTCAGATAGGATGCCAAAGTGCACACAAATGGCACCAATCCAAATACCACTAATTCGACATACATGACATTGTAAAATAGCTCCGTGCCCCCACAGGAGATCTTGGTCAGCGCTTTGGAGTCACAGAAGAAGTGATTAATTGTGGAATGGCAGAAGGACATTTTTGAGACAGATATTGAAATCAAAACCGAATTTAGACACCCGGAAACCCAAATAAAAGCAATGAGTAGGAAACAGATTTTCATACTTAGGATGAAGTGGTAATGCAATGGGTCACAAATGGCGACATATCGGTCATAGGCCATAGTGAATAACAGAAGGTCTTCTGTGCTGCCTATCCAGAAGAAGAAGTACATCTGGAGAAAGCACTGGGTGAAGGATACAGCATTATTCCCTGAAATCAGTATGTAGAGAAGTTTGGGAATGATGACTGTTGTGTAACACATGTCCACAACAGAGAGATTACAGAGGAACAAGTACATGGGACTATGTAAGCGATCATTTTTATAAATGACTATTATGATGGCAGAGTTTATGAGAACCCCGGTCACATATGTTAAGACAAAAAGACTTGAAAGTAACATGTCATCCTCCACATTAGAGGAAAACGGCACAATATAGAATTCCAAAAAGGATGTGTAGTTCTTCATTATGCTCAATGTCCTTATGCTGCAAGAAAGCAAAATATTATTGGCATACTTAAAGGAATAAATATGGCTGTGCCCTCCCCCCTCCTTATCCTCCGTGCCTGTTGGATCTATGTGACAGTCATCGGAGGAGTAGAGATCACAGCAGGAGACACACGCACACACACACGGACGGACGAACAGTCAATTCACAGGCTGGCTGCTACTGAGAACGGCTGTCGCTTGTGTCTCCTCACCGGCTCACACTGTTTGCCACTGGGGGTGACAGGGACAGCTTCTGTGGGCCCCTTTACATTTGCCCATTTTGCCCCGCGGTAAAGACGGCCCTGCCTTTTAATGTGTTTTGATTTTAAATATTCATCAGGAGTTTTGATGAAATATTGTATTAATATTATACTTTTGTTAGCATGATATTTTTATTATGAAACTCTATAGTGGGTTATGTTAACCTTCCTGCGGTAATCCCGAGTGTGGCTCGGGGGGAAATTTTTCGTACCAAAAGCGGTAACCCCGAGCCACACTCGGGCGTCTTCCGGGTTCCTTCCCAGCGAGCTGCGGCATTGCAGGGGGGCGGAACCGGCGAGAAATTAAAAAGTAAAAAATAGAAAAGAAAAAATACTGAAATAATCATACCACCAGGGAGGTTGAAGGGAAGGTACAATATATTTTCAATAAGCACTAAGTATGAGCCGAGTGATTTTGGAAAAGAAAAATTAATTTTGCCACAAAATTAAAGATTTTGCCAAAGCAGAAATTATTTTTCACTTATTGGGCTGCTTGGGTAAAATATGCTTGACAAATAAAAGGTCTATCTTTTACTCTTGTTTATTTAGATTGCGTTTTTTGGGGGAGGAGGGGGCTAGCGCTGTTTATTTCATTTAGTGATTTTTAAAATTTTGTTTTTCCATTTTTGTGTGTTTATTTTATATTATTTTGCTACATTTTAGACATCAAGCCTAAATTTAGAGAAAGCAAAAGTTTAAAAAAATCCACCTCTTGACATAAGATCCTTTTAAATGCTGTATTTAATATAAATACATAATGTGTTAATTATACAAAATTTAGTCAATAATGCTGAGGAATGCACACTGGTTTTTATCCATATGTTTATATTTTCTTACTTTATATGGCATAGTGGTTAGCGCTTCTGCCTTGTAGCACTGGGGGTCCTCCGGTTCAAATCCCGGCCAGTTCACTACCTACAAGGCGTTTGCATGTTCTCCCTGTGCTTGCCTGGGTTTCCTCTGGGTACTCCGGTTTCCTCCCACACACCAAAGACATGTTGGGAGGTTAATTGGCTCCTCTCTAAATTGGTTCTCGTTTGTATGCATGAGATAGGGACGTTAGATTGTAAGCTCCTTGAGGACAGGGACTGATGAATGTGCACTGTGTAAAGCGCTGCGTAATATATAAACAAATATTGATATTCCCAGAGATAGCCTCCACACTCTATTTGTAAGTTAAATGCTGTTGTGCACATCTACAAGAATGTTCATGTAAATCCAAAGTAGATGCTCGGCTTCAGGGCTGCAGGGAGTAGAGGGGTAGCAGGGGTGTGGAATTCCTGGCGCCCGACGCACAGGACATGCAGTTCCGGGCACTGGGTGGGTGTTCTACATTTAGCCCTGGGCAGGGCTAAATGTAGAGCGCGGAAGTTGCCACTCGTTTTGTACAAGTGATTAAAAAAAATGAAAATAATAAAATAAAAAAATTATAAAAAATAAAAAGTAAAAGATAAAACAAAGCTAAAATTAAAAAAGTAAATAAAGTAAATAAAAAACAGTTAAAGAAAAAAAATAAAATAAATGAAAACCTACCCTGCTGTTCCCACCATCTGGTTGCCATTCTCCATGGGGGGGGGTGCATTTAGGAACCTTGCCTTGGAGCAGCAGAGAGAGAGTAAATCCGGCCCTGGCTGGCAATATATGTATATATGTTCAAGATTTACAGCTACAGCACCCTCTGGAGATCACTCTGATGTGGGGAACTGTGGGGGCCTGTGAGAACACATGTATGTACAGGAAAACCTATACACCTTACACATCCCCATGCATGCTAGATATGAAAGAATAATCTTAGGACTGTTATTTTGGTTTGACTCTGAACTGTAGTAGTTTTTAATCCATCACCTATTTACATTTTCGTCTATGAACTGAAGAGCAAGGTTGTAACCAAAGCATACAGATGAGGAAGAGTTTGCTTTTGAACCAACTTCGCTCTGTGCAGCAGCTTGTTTCTCAGAAACATGTTTCTGAATGTTGTTGGAAGGCTTACTTTTTCTACAGCAGGCCCAGGACTTAAAATTATTTTATTTTCCAACGCAGTGCTTTCTAATAAAATAGCACACACGGGCAAATTGTTTTTCATTTTACATGTATATATTACTGAATCCGGTGAATTCTCTGTTTTCCCATCAGTTCAGCTTTCAGCTTTTTCAATAAACTGCACTCTGTATCATTTATAGGTATGAAATATGAACTTCATGCTGGTAATTATAATATCATGTTGTTGCAGTCATACAGCTTACCCTGATATGCCGCATCCTTGATTTAGACACATCATAGAGTGGGGTATTTATACCATGCATATGTATCTGCATAAGGTCTCTATAGACCTTATTGTATTGCACAAATAATCCATTGCGGAGGAAATTATGTGACATAATGGAATTGCACCATTTATTGTCCCCAGGGATTTAGTTATACAGTATCTGTTCATTTACTGTCTTTTGGGACTTCTTTGTTTCTTAGTGTGCAAAGCAATTGTCAGATTCCTCTCATCACCTTTCAACATCTGGTGGAGTCACGAGTCAATGATTATTGTCTCCATGAGAATATTTACTTCTGTAGGCAGTTCTCAGTTGTGTTGGTGCTTTGTGCTACAGTTTCTATGGCTTAAACCTGTGAAGTCTGACATTACCTATTATATCTGTAAGAAATCAGTCAAGGCAACTGGACTTGCTGTATTTTTCTTGAAGACATTTCACTGGACATCCGACCAGCTTTCTCAATTCAGAATCACTTGTACAAAAATTATCTGGGAATATATATGGTAAATGTCGTTCCAATTTTTTGTACAAGTCATTCTGAATTGAGAAAGCTGGTCGGATGTCCAGTGAAATGTCTTCAAGAAAAATACAGCAAGTAAAGTTGCCTTGACTGATTTTTTACAGATAGACCATGACCTGGATGAATGAGAACCTTCACAGACACGACCTATTATGCCTGCAAATATGTGATGTATGCCCCCAGATGAGCATACTCCACACAATGTCAAATCCAATTAAGTAGGTGGTGATTTGCTGAATTAATAGTTTTTTACATTATTATGATGATGATGAATATTATTATTATTGTTTTTTATTTTAAACACCAACTGAACTTAAAGTAAACCTGGCAATTATTTAAAAGAGTTTACATTAATAATATAAAAAAATACTTTTCTGTGCACCTGAAAAGTCCCTGGATATTGGTACACACTGTAAACAAGGCTTCCAGCTCTTCAACTGCTATGGATCTAAGCTCAACCATCTTATAGAGTTTGAAGCCCATTGTGATGCCATCACACTATTGCTGGAGTCTACTAGACATGTGCGATTCATTTAGTTCCGAATCGAAAATTCGGATGAATTTTTGGAAATTCGGACATTCGGATGTATCCGAATTACAGATATAACGAATGCAAACGAATCCGAATTTCCGTTTCCAAAATTCGTTAGCGGTAGTTCATTCGAACGTTCGTTTACGTTTGTTGGAGCAAAGTGACATTAGAGATGGAGAAAAACATTTTTTCCCCCTCAAATATCACTTTGCTGCAAACGGACGAACGAGTGAACGAAACGAATAAGAAACTAAAACGAAACGAACGTTCGAACGAACTACCGCTAACGAATTTCGTCCGAATCCGAATTGACTTTCACACCCGAATCCCGAAAAAAGAAATAACACAAATCTGAATCAAAACGAAACGAAACTAAACACATTTTTTGGCAGTGCACATGTCTAGAGTCTACACAACCTGTGACAACCCCACCGCTGGACTGTGAATGGGAGTGATGTGGACTTCCATAGAAGGATTCTCCCATTCTGCAGCAAAGAAGAGAGAAGACTTGGAACCTTGTGTGTCATGTGACCATGGATTTTAGTGAGTATTTGGGGCACTAGGTATTTAAAAACATTGCTGCAGAAATGAGGGGTATTGTTTGTGAGGGAGAGAGAATGCATGAATGGAGCACATATTTAACTGTTTAACTGTCCAGTGTAAGAGTAACTAATATCCACTGAGTCACTGACATTTTAGTGTTAAATGATGGAAGTGCAGCTTAGGTTTGAGGGTGAATTTAGATCCAGCTTGAAGTAAGCCCTCCGTATAACATGTGTCCTGAATCTACGGGCTTCATGGATATGATGGAATCAATTAGAGGATTACCAGAAGTACTTTAATGTCGAATTAAACCTGTGGGGGTTTTTTTTGCATATATTTACTGCTAGCAGGCAGTAGATATATGCAAAAACATTTTAAAAAATACCAAATAAGTAAAAACTTACCTGTGTCTCCGCCGCATGCTCCTGTCCAAAGAATTGAAGATTCTTGAGCGGCCGTGAAGGATCATGGGGCGGGCGATTGCGCAGTAGAGATCTTTGGCCAGGAGAAGAGGAGAGACACAGGGTCAGTCAATGCACACAGCCAGCAGCATGCACGCGGACAGAAACCGTGGGACACGGGGAGTCTGTGCTGAATCTGAGAGCGGCACCAGCGCTGGAGGGACTTCTTAAAACTACTGGAATGTCACGTCAAATCTCATGCAATTCATAGCAAGCAAGACCTGTGTACAGAGGCAGTTGTAAGCTAATTATTAGTGCCTCCCTCATGTTACAGATCTCCTTCAGAAGTCTAATTTTCAGTATACCTGGTACAATTACATAATTCCTGTCAATGGGAAATGAAGGGATTAAAGGACGAGAGTGAAAGTAATAGTAGGTAAATCCATTGTTTTTACAGCT